TTTTTGCAAGCCACACTGAAGAAGGCAGGATATTTATTCTTCTTAAATCACAACAGTAAAAAAAAAAAAAAGATTTTTGCTTTATCCTTGGGTACTCACTATAACTCTGAGAGGCCTACCCATATTTCTTAAGGCAATGCAGCTACTATGAGAAGAATTTGGGGCAGCAGCTCTCCTGTCTGCCTGTTGTCTTTGCAGGTAGTTTGTGTGTGTGTGTGTGTGTGTGTGTGTTTTCACAAGTCTTTCCTTTGCAGAACATGAGTAACATTTCTTTCTGCCTCTTGTGTCTGTGCAAGATCTTCTCTCTTTTCCTTTTCCTAAAAAACCTATCCTTTCAAATATTAAAAAAAAAAGTGATTTTGGTTTCACGTGACAAAACTGCATCATACCACCATATAAGAAAATAAAGTGCTTTCCTGAACAAGTTATTAGCTTCTTTATAACATAATATAGTTTTTCAAGAACCACCCAAAATCAGGTTAGTAAGAAATGTAGTTTTCATTCTTTAATCAACAGATTGTTTTTTAAGCAGACATATTTATTAAAGACTGAATAGTTTTTATGGAATACTGGAATTTAGAAGGCTTACATAGACATAGTCAATTCTACAGTAATAAATTGCTTTATCTATTTATTATAGTTTTTTTTAATGTTACACTTATCTATCACCCATTATTTGGTCGGCAAGGGGAAAATTATGTTGTACTAAACCACAAGTAATTAGTCTTTTCTCAAATGCTTGTTTTCTGTGTATAAACAGGATAAAGAACATAAATGTAAGGGGAACTCTTAGGATATTATTATCACATTAGCTCTCAACATACAGTACTTGCTAGGAATTTTACACTGAGTCATCTTCTTGATTTCAACATGAGCTTGGAGCAATTAGGTAGATCACCAGTGATAAATAACTTAGATGAGGTAGTGAAATGTATACACTAACATAAATTCATGACTAAAATAATTTCAATATTTTTGATTGTAATGTTATTTATATTCATAATTATACAAACATTCTGTAGGTTTTCTAAAGTCTTTTAATAATAGATGAGAGAAATATTTTTTCAGTATTTTCAGGAGGTGGACAAAACAAAACTGGACCACCTAAATGAAACTGAATCTACTATAATTAATGATAAAACTTTCAGCACATTTATCTGACTAAAATGCACACTTCCACCCAAAAGTACTTTACTTATGGGTAATTTAATTTCATAAAGAAATTATAATGGTAACAGAGCACATTTAAATAATTTTATAGGATATAATACTCCTCAAATCCACTAATAGATTTTTCTTCTGCAAATATTTGTGTAGAATGGTTCCTATTATCACACCCCCTATAAAAGATAACAAAGTAGGCTCAGCATGATTAAGTAATAATAATTGTGAGATGAAGGTGGATTCCAACTCAGCCACTCACATTCCAGAGTGCATGTTATAGGTACTCAATCACAGGTATATGTTGTAACATTTTTTTTTAAGATTTATTTATTTATTCGTACAGAACTGGGGTACAGGCCAGAGATGCGGTGGGTGAGAGGATTCACCAGAGACAGAGTAGGGTACAGAACAGACAGATCTACGAAGTACACTGCTGATGGGAGCAGCGGGCGGGGCAGGCGGGGATGGAACTCATGTGGAAGTGGCTTAAGCTTCTTTGTGCTGTGCTTTAACCCACTGCGCCACCAGGAAGAGCCATATGTTGTAAAATTTTTAATGTAGGTCCTGTATACCCCCAGGGGTCTGCCCAAAAACTTTTGAAAGAATTTCAAGGTGATTAGTGTCTAGGTTTTAATTTCCTGTGTATTTCTTAGTATCTTTTCTGATTTGTGTTTTAAAACTTCTCCCACTTTACCTAAGATATACACAACTCTCACCTCCCCAAATCATACTCTGCTGCATTTATAAAGGAATAAAAACTCTGAATGCTAAATAAAAGAACATTTCAACATAATTGGGAAGAAGCCACCTCTAGACCACCATAAACCTTTCTTAGGGTTTCCTGTCTTTCCCTATCTTGGAAATCCTTATTTCAGATTTAGGCCTTAGAAAAGGAAGGTTATTAAGTAGATGTTATTAAATCACACATTGTGAGGAGGGTGTGAATAGTAATAATTTTCTTTTAAAGTCCTCACCCACTTCTGAATTCTTCACTATTGTTAATGAATGCATTGATTTTTGAGAAGAATTTGGTAAAAACAAAAGACTGGGAAAATAGGTTGGAAGTTAAGGATTAGCTTCTGGTGCGTACAGCCAACAATTCATATCCTGCTATACTCTACTGGAAAAGACCAAGTCCAATCTTGCAAATGTACTAATAGACTAAGGATTATGTACTAGTGGAAAGATAACAAATCATCCTTGTCTATGATATGCTTTTAGCAGGGTACACCTGATCTGTGCAGATATTTTAAGACAGATGAATCTGAAATTTATGGATGTACAAACAATATCCATTTGGAAAATGGCAGTGTCTCCCAAATAATTATTTAAGTATAAAATGGAGATAGCTCATGGATGAAGTAATTTCTCTTGATAAGTGATACCTAGCACACTTTACTTAGTAATCTCAAGTGCTAGATGTGGGCCAGTACATGTTTTAAGGTGGCATGGGAAAACCTGGGGAGCTGGGTTGTTTCAGACATCATCTCTTGTGTTTTCTTGTGTGTTATGGTCACCTGCAATTTTCAAAAAGTATTAGTAAAGTTTATTTTATCTCAGCAAGATATACTAAATGTTGGCCCTCCCTGGTGGTGCAGCAGGTTAAAGCACAGCACTAAGAAGCTAAAGCCACTTCAGCAAGAGTTCAATCCCCATCTGCCTTAGAGGTGATCTACATGGCACTGCAGACCTTTCCTGAAACGTCCGCTGCTCCCCTCAGCAGTGTACTTCGTCCATCTGCCAGTTCTGCTCCCCACTCTGTCTCTGGTGAATCCTCTCGCTGCCCCTGCACCTCTGGCTAATAAAAAAAAAAGATATACTGAATGTTAACAGATTTTTACATATTTTTAGATGTAATTATTTTTGCTATTCTCAAGTACCATTTCAGCAAATCCTGATTGATGATGCTTAATTTGTTTTACAGCATTCTGGAAGAAAACAATATTAAGGATAAATGATTATTTTGAATCAAAAATAAATAAAATGCTAATTTAAAAAAGCTAATGAATACTAAAAACATAACAAAGACCAGAAAATAACACAAATTTTTTTTTAGGTGCTTGATATATCCCTTTTCTTCTTAATTTTCTTGGCTCTGTACTCAAATTTCATGTGAAATGATTTTACAACACATCCCATAAAGAAAAGAGAGAGTTCAATTTTAGTATGATTTAGAAAATTATCATATAGAAAAGTTTATTTCTGCCATATAAATTAATATTGATGTTATATAAATTTTTATGATTATTGTCAAGATCATATGAACTACAAATATGAGTTTTGACTAGCATTGATTTGAACCATTATTTGTTTATACTTTACAAATCTGATTTCTGGAATAACGTTCAGCAGATTAGCTTCTGGACCCATATATTTCAAACTTTCACCCACGTTTCACTTTTATTCACATACTTCCGGTGCTATGCACTGTAGGATACATTTATAAGGCACTATGACCCTTGACTCTTGATGTTAGGTAAGTGCCAGATAAGCCAGCAGAGAAATATTCTTGGAAGTAATGCTACACTACTATGGCTAACAATAGCCTAACCATACACACAAGTAATTGTAAACATATCTCATTTAAAAAAATTAAGTGTACATCCAACTCAATTGCTCTTTATCCTGAGCCTTAAAATGCCAAAACTATTTCAAATTCAAGGATAGGAGGGGATATCAAGTAAAGTCAGTCCTAACAAATTTTGATTATAGTTAAATCTTTCTCTGAAATATGTTAGCTCAACTAAAGGGCTATTTTGGAAAAAGCCTGAGCAAATAAGGGGCCCTAATGGTTAACGAAGTAAAACATTGAAGAATTTAAATATAATGGTACTATTTAGTGACCAAATAAATCAAATTATATTTGAGAAAACATGAAAATTTTCACATGGCTTTAGATGTGTTTACATTTTTAATAAGGTAACTAAAATCTAGATTATCAAGAGATCCACTTTTTGGTGCAAGGAACTCTACATACTACTTTCCAAAGAAACTGGTATACATTATTATTTTTTTAAAACCACTTAAAGTCTGAAGCATATAGAAAATGAAAAAAAAATATTCAAGAACATCTAAGTCTCTCTATTAACGTGTACTGCCTTAATAGGTTTTTCTCTGTGATGTTTGTTGCCTTTCTGAGATTAGATAAAACTACCAAATAAATAGCTTCTAACTTCAAATTTAAAAGCCTCTCACAATAGTTATTTAACAGTTGCCATCATTAATTAAATCCTGATTGGGACTAGGGGTAGCAAAAATTCATCTGGAATTAAGTTACTACTATCCTTGGATAAATGGTTACTGGAAAATCACACAGCTAATCGTAAGTGCTCTGGGATATGTATGTATGTATGCATGTATGTATGCATGCATATATGTATACATGTATATGTATATAATCCTTTCTCAAGTTAAGCCTATTTAAAGTATAAAACCTGTCATCTATAGTATTTTACTAACTGTAAAGAACTTTCGAACAAAGGTAAAATATGTTTACTCTACTGTCTCTTTTTAGTCTTCCATAACCATAAATGATCTTGGCATAGCTGCTTATTATCTTCTGCAATCAGGAATTCATTTTTCTCTCTCTCTCTTTTTTAACTATCACACACACTGCCGAGTCTACGTGGGTTTTCGAAGTACCTATTCTCTCTTTGGACTACTAGGCACAAAGGTCAGCTTCCCAAATTAAATGGGCCTTTGTTCCCCCACGCGCACGGCGCCAGGGTTCCCTCTAGCTGTCAGAGCTCTCACTGTCCAGCACTTTTTCCCCTCGTCCCTGCAGCCTCCTCCTTCCAGCCAGAGAAAGATTGCGCAAGCGCCGTGGCAGCCGACGTGGCCGCGGGAGACATTGGCCTGGGGTCGGCGCCGAGTAGCCAGTCCGCGCGGTTCTCTCCGGGTCCACTGCTCACACTTTTCTGTTCTCTTCCAAGAGCCTCACTCCAGGCTTCGAGGCGGACTGCTATCTCCCTAGACACCACTTAGCAGGTCAGAGTGTCCAGAGCGTAGGCTGCGCCGGCAGCTGACATCTTCATGGGGAAGGTGCCAAACGGGCACCACGGGAGACAGACGTTCCGCGGCCACGCTCGGCCCAGTCGCGGACGCCGCTCTGACTGGCAGGGCTGGCGCGGCCGCGTGACGTGGCGCGCAGTCGGGTACGCTTTGTGAGTCCCGACGTGCGGCGCGCGTGCGCGCGTGCGCGGGCGGGGGCCGAAAACCTCGGGATCGGTCGGGGTTGAGCACTTCCCAGGCGCAGGGTCGGAGGGCGCGGGCCCCTGGCTGCTGGGAGCTGTCGGGGAGCTCTCCGGGCGGCGCCAAAGCGCCTGAGGTCTGGAAGGCACAGGTGGGGCGACGGCGGCGGGTGGCCCCTAAATGGGGTGGGCGGGGGCTTGAGCGCCCCGTACTCCGCGGACTCGGTGGCGGGCGGTGGGGACGCACACCAGGCCGGGGTCTTTGGGCCAGGTCGTGGCGGCGAGACTTTCTTGGAAGGGGGCAAGTTCGAGAGGGACTAGTCTGAGAAGTTGTGCCTAGTTAACTCCCACGTCGTGTTTATGTAATTTCGAGCTCGGGTGCTTACTGTTCGAATGGAGTACGCTGCCCGCCCCGGCCCCCTGGAACGCCGTTTTCCAGGAGCCACATTAGTGTTCCTCCTCGCTGGCCCAGCCCGCTGTGGACTCTGGTATCGAAAGTCGCCCAGTTTATTCTCTTTCTGCGCTGTTTCTTGAAAGTTCGGTAACTGTTGTTTTCAAAAAGGTCAGCAGACCACAGCAGTAATTATGGGAGTGGCTAGCGCACGATTTTACTCTTTCGAACCCGTTTGTAGATGTTTGCTTGGTTTATTTGGGTTTGAGCACCACGGAGGTTTCCTCCGACCTCATTTCTGCGACTGGAAAAAGTTTGTTTTGGAAAGCACAGTTTCGTGACAAGGCATTATTGCGTTACAGTGGGGTTGGCCCATGTTCGCGCTAATTGTAATGAGTTGTTTTCCTGCAACGCCAGAGGTTCCTCGAGCTTTGCTTTGTATTGTCATGTAATGAAGTCGCCTTCCAGATCGCGGTGGCCTCTGAAATATGACATTAAGTAATTAAGAATTAGTTTTACTTTGACATTTCTAAAAGCAAAAAGGCAAGGCAATATGTAAGAATGTGCCCAACTATAAATGGGACTTATTATTATTATTTCGCTTACAATAACAGACCTCATTTGGTGTCTTCCTGCAATAGGAAGCTCTTCTCTCAGGTGGTCTTCTCTCACCTGTGGGGTTTTCTGAAATTTATAAAGGTCTCCTAATAAGCCAGAATATGGTGGGATTCTACTAACAGGGAGTTGCAGTCACTTGGAAAGATTTTTTTTTTTTGTAAAGTGTCATCTAGGCTAACAGGGAGCAACTTCTGCTGGTTCTAGGGGAAGAAATGCTGTATCAAGCTTGGTTGTTTCCACTGCCAGTATTTATGGGATTGAACTACATTGCCAAGTGTTTGGTTCAGAAATTTACCTTTGTTTCTGAGTATTTTTTCAGGCATGAGCATGCCTTCCCCTCTCCTCACACCCTCCGCCAGACCTCGCAGCTATGTTTACAGCAAAAGTACATTTTACTTCTTTTACTAAAACGTTTAGGAAACAACTTGAAGACACCACTGATGTTTGAACTAGTTTTGGCTTGTAATTTAGGACGATTGTACTTTGTACATTCTGTTTTCTTAGATCAACACTTTAAGGACTTACAATTTTAAAAATTAAAGTATATGAATTCATGTGATAATGGTTTTTTTTAATCCTTTCAAGACACCTGGTAAATAGATAATTCTTCCTAGACATCTGATAGGTTTTTCTTTTTTCAATTCACTATTCTGTAGTCCCTAATCCTGTGAAACGCTCAGACTACTGAGAATATGCATATCCCAGAATAAATCATAAAGATACAATATTTTAGTGGAAACTTATTTCTTTCTCTGTTGAAATTCCCAGCTACCTACCAGTGGCCAATCTCTTCTGCTAAACATTTTTTTTTTTTTAATGGTGCTACTCAGCAAGTAAGACAGTTGGGCAGCAGTACACACCCCTCTCCCCTTTCCTTTGAATCATATTTTTTTTTTACAATCTCTGTCTTTGGCCAGGATGCTTAATATTTGTAAAACAATATCTGAATTAAACATTAAGGTGCAAGTATATGAGAATTAAGTGAAGATCAGAACAGTGCCAAACATATTCAAAGAACCTGTTGATAAACAGTCAGTTATGGTGCTTGTAAGGACCAGAATGTAGTAATAAGAGCAGCACTGGTTTAAGAACAGTGCTTTTGTTTGTATACCCCTAAAAGTAATCTTTGTAAAACTGCCCTCCCTACACACATTTAAACTGATTCACAAAATTTGAAGTCATACTCTTAGGTAGTTGACAAAAGATGCAGTTTCACATAGTATAAAGACTGACTTTTTATATAAAATTTGTGCATCACTCAACTGTACTAAAACATGTATAATATGCACTTTTGTAACTATCATCATCAATTTCAAAAATACATGGTGTTTCACACAATTACTTTTTATTGAAGATATACTGACTTACATGCCCCCCACAAAATGCTAACTTAATGTAATTTGTTTATGCTTGAAAGCTTTCTGTTCTGTCACACATACCTTTATTAAAAATATTTAAATAGGCCCTCCCTGGTGGCGCAGTGGGTTAAAGCACAGCACTGAGAATCTAAAGCCGCTTCCTCATGAGTTCGATTCCCGCCTGCCCCGGAGGTGACCACATGGCGTGGCAGACCTCTCCTGACCGCCCGCTGCTCCCCTCAGCAGTGTATTTCGTTGATCTGCCTGTTCTGCACTCCACTCTGTCTCTGGTGAATTCTCTCACCCTCCACATCTCTGGCCTGTATCCCAGTTCTGTATGCACAAATAAAATAAAATCTTTAAAAAAAAAATATTTAAATAAATTGAAACTAATTGAAAGTTTTCTGTGACTTACTCTAGAGTTTGTTATATTCTGAACTGAGTTACTACAAGTAGTAGTAGTTGGTCAGAAGAACATAATGGCTAGTGGATTTTATAAATAAAATATAAAAATGAACTATTTATAAATAAATAGTAAAAATGAAAAGTCAGAATTCAGTGAGAATTTGTCTTTTTTAAAAAATTTATTTATTTGTGCATACAAGAACTGGGGTACAGGCCACAGGTACGGCATGAAGGGGCAGGGTGAGCAGATTCACTGTAGTCAGTGGGGAGCAGAACAGGCAGCTCCACTGAAATACACTTGCTGAGGGGGAGCAGTAGACCAGGCAGGAGAGGTCAGCTGTGCCAAGTGGGTCAGATCCCTGGCCAGGGATGATGCAGCTTGTGCTGCAATAGCTGCAGATAGCTTCATAGTGCTGAGACTTAATCCCTTGTACCACCTGGAGACCCCTGAAATTTTTTCTTAATGTTAGGGAGTTAAGCCAAAATGAAATTTTACCCCATTGACCTTGAGCTGTTCTGTTAGAGGGGCTTTCCCATCCTGAGTAAAAGTACTACAGTAAGAATAGGAGTGGATGAGAGGGATGACTTAATTTTTGTTAAGTAGGAAGGCTATGAATTAAACCTGGATGAACAGAAAAAAGGCATGATAGCCGGACTGCAAGCATTTTCTCAGAGAGGTGAGTTTTAGGCATACTAAATGGAAGCAGAGGGATCTAGAAGCTGTATTCTTAAAATTATAATGTCCCTTTAAAGTCTTCATATGCCTCAGCAGTACATGTAGCTTCAGTTTGAAGACCATTTGCTGTGGTGATTATAGACAGGGATTATTTTGCTGCTCAGGTGTATTTTGCAGTGTCTTTGAAACTTTTTTTTGTCCTAGTCATATAAAAGGCTGCTGCTGTTGGCATCTAGTAAATAGAGATCAGCAATGCTACTGAACATCCTGTAAGGTGAATAGGACAGACTCCATTAACAGAATTATTCACCTTAAAATGTTGATAATAGTGAGGTTATGCAATCTAGATTTACAAGGTTTTGTAGTCAAACTATTTAAATCAAAGTGTCAGATAGTAAATATTTTAGACTTTCAATGCCATATATCACATCTTACAGACAGATCCTTTATACCCTTTGTTTTATAACTGTTTAATATATAAATTCTTGGGGCCTTCCTGCTGGCATCAGAGGTTAAAACATGAATCAATCCACAGCCACTGCAGCATAGGTTGCATTCCAGACTGGGGAGGTGACCCACATGGCACAGCAGATCTCATCCGCTGCTCCCCTCAGCATTATATTTCAGTCATTCTGCCTGTTCTATGCTCCACTCTTTCTGGTGAATTCTCTTACCCCCACCCTGTTTCCCTGCCCCGCACCTCTGTCCTATACCCCAGTTCTTGTACTGTAAATAAATCTTGAAAGTAAATTCTCACCTCTAGTTTCTTTGAGAAACAGGTGACCGAGGGTAATCAATAGGTTCAAACATCAACTTTTATCTCTGTAAAGTAGTATTAGTATAACTCCTCAAGAGTTGTCGGTAAGAATCAATGAGATAAACATGTAGCTTAGTGTCCAACATACATTAAACACTCTGTAAACAGTGTCTGGTTATAGTAGCACTCTAACACGTACCAGAAAAACTGGCTGCCAAGTCACAGTATTGTTCGAGATCTTGTTAGAGTCAGTTGGACAAAACTTAATATGCTGGTTAAATTCCTTGATCAGCTCACAAAAACCTATATAACCTCTGTTTTTTTGCTTCCTGAACTCAGTTTTTCTGTACCCAATGGAAGGTAGAGGACAGAATTCCTGTCCTCTGGTTCTGAGGGAAGGTAGAGATGGGATCTGTGGAAAGGCTAAAGTGTTTGAATGACAAGTCAAAAGCAAAGGTCAGAATCGCTGGGAAGGGATTGTCAATTTTGAGGTAGGGCATGTTAGGTAGGTCAGTTTGCGGTCATTTGTATGTGATGTTTTGTAAATTGAGGACTAAGTATACTCTTGATGATAATGAAGTTGTTGAACCAACAGTTTCTCTATTTTTCAGTTTGGAAAATACTTAGTGAAGAAATAGATCACAGTTTCTGTGATATTTTTACAGTGCAAAATCTTGCTGAAACAATCTTAGACCATTTATATTATCCTACCATAGTTTAATGAGATGATAGGGAAAAAAATCAAACTGGTATCCAATAAGAATAGATGTGGATATTAAGCATTTGAAATGCGACTAGTTGAAATTGAGATGTTTCATGGACAAATATACACTAAGTTTTGAAAACTTAATTCAAAAAAGAAGGTAAAATATCTCTTATTTTATTACATATTGAAATAGTGTTTTGGTTGTATTTAGATAAATAAAAGGTTTCTGCAATTAATTGCATCTGTTTCTTTTTACTTTTTGATGTTGCTACAATTAAGTATATAGCTAAATTTAAGTGTATAGCTAAATTAGTAATTTTTTTTATCATCATGTAGTATTAAGAATGACATATGATTATAAGTCTTAGAGTGAAAATCTGGGTCCCTTCCTCCTATGGGTCTTAATTTGTAAATGGCCTTTTAATAGGCTCTGTTGCTACCTCGACAGAAGATAGAATTCCATCACTTCTGCTTTTTTGAGGTCCTGTTGTGTGTTGTAAATGGAGCTGCTTCTCTAATTCTCACCCCACCCCAGCTTAGGCTCATCTTTCTTAAACTGTGTTTTGTGAGTTACACTTCTTAGTCTTCTTTTTCTGGACCACACCATGTTTAATTCTTTTTCCTTTGTCCTGTGAGTTCATTTCTCTCTTTAATTAAGCAATAACAAAGTACATGTAGTGCACTAATCTTGAGTTTACAACATAATGACATATATGTATACATCCATGTATACATGTATACGTGTATATGTATATGTAGAGAATATTTCCATCTACTATATGGCCCTCCCACATCCGTAAGCACTGTTTTTGTTTTTTTTATTTTGATCATCATAGACAAGGTTTTTGCTTGTTCTTCAGGTTTACTTACAAAGAATCTCATAGTATGTAGTTTCTTTAAGTCATTTGTATCTGACTTCTTTTGCTAAAAAATTGGTGAAATTCTTAAGTTTTGTGGGATCCTTTTAGTTTTGTATAATTTCTGTATATTGACTGCATTGTATAAATACCCACTTATTCCTTTTCTTGGAGGTGGACTTCTGGATTATTTTGTGGTTCTGGCCTTAAGTACATATTCATTTCTCTTGGTTATATACCTGCTAGAGGAATTGCTGTGTCATAGAGTAGTGAATGTTTGGTTTTAGTGGAAATAGCCAGTTTTCCAAAGTGGCTAAACCATTTTTTTTTTTTTACTTCTGCCAGCAAACTAGGAAGATTCACATTGCTTCCTTAATATTTGCCAATCTTTTCAGTTTTGGTTAAACAATCATATCGTAGATTTTAATTGCCTTACCCTGAGGGAATATAGTAATAAACACCATTTCACATGCTATTTAAATATCCTTTTTAATGAAGTACCTGTTTGCCTTTTTCATTAATAGAATGGTTGCTTTTAAATAATCTTGTTAGTTATTTTAACAGTGTTTGGGAAGAAACTAGGCTAACTGCCTATAAATCACCAGTCACCTTTAAATGGAATTCAGAGAAATTCAAATTTTTATTATAATATTTTTCTCACTTTTGTTCTCTCCAATGCATCCTTCAACCTCATTTTTATTTAGCCTGATATACTCTGGATTTATATTTTAACAAATTTACATGAGACTCTTTGATTCCAGACTTAAATATTTATGATAGGAAACCTTTATTTCTTAAACAGGAATAAGAAAATTGTTCAATAATTATATTCTAACTTATTTTGCTGTTTTAAATTAAAAAGACAATTAGGACTAAGCATTATCCATTCAACAAATAAATATTGAATGTTTACCTCATGTCAGATCTAATAGTAGGCTTAAGAAATAGAACAGTGAACAAGACAGACAAGCAAGGCTCCCGTTCTCTTGAAATAAATTCAGCTAGGAGAAATTGATATTAGTGAAGATATAGCTAAATACGAAAATTAAACATAATATTGTCGGTTTTGCAGACATGGATCAAGAGCCACAAAATGGAGAACCTGCGGAAATTAATATCATTAAAGAAGCATACAAGAAAGCCTTTCTATTTGTTAATAAAGGACTAAATACAGATGAATTAGGGCAGAAGGAAGAAGCAAAGAACTACTATAAGCAAGGAATAGGCCATTTGCTCAGGGGAATCAGCGTTTCATCAACAGAACCTGAACACACAGGCCCTGAGTGGGAATCTGTTAGACAGATGCAACAGAAAATGAAAGAAACACTACAGAATGTACGTACTAGGCTGGAAATTCTAGAGAAAGGTCTTGCCACTTCTCTGCGGAATGATCTTCAGGAGGTACCCAAGTTATATCCAGAATTTCCTCCTAAAGACATGTCTGAAAAATCTCCAGAGCTTCCATCCACTAGTTCACCTACCCAGCAGCCCGAAGTAAATGGAAATACGTCAAATACAGGGCCAATTCCTGCACCTGGTTCTCTAGCCTTACCCTCCCAGAGTCATCCAGCAGAAGCACCTCCTGCTTATACTCCTCAGGCTGCTGAGGGTCACTACACTGTGTCCTATGGGACAGAATCTGGGGAATTTTCATCTGTTGGAGAAGACTTTTACAGGAATCATTCCCAGCCACCTCCTCTTGAGAGCTTAGGGCTAGACGCAGATGAGTTGATTTTGATACCAAATGGAGTCCAGATTTTTTTTGTAAATCCTGCAGGAGAGGTTAGTGCACCTTCATATCCTGGGTATCTTCGAATCGTGAGGTTCTTGGACAATTCCCTTGACACAGTACTAAACCGTCCTCCTGGATTTCTTCAGGTAAGCAACAGAAAACCATAATTTGACTTATATGTAGAATTGATCATTTTTGTTTGTTAGTATTTGTAATGTGTCCAGTGCACTGTGCCAAAAGATCATCAATTGTTGTTTCTTTTAAAATAGACTTCATAAATGTATTTGGTAGACTTTTTCTTTTTCTTTTCTTTTTAAGATATAAATCTTTTTTTAGTATTTGTTAAGATAGACATGAAAGGTAGCAGGATATTCGTCCTTGAATTTTTAATTCTTTATCTGAAGGAAAAATGTTATAGCTAATTTAAATTCAGATTATAATTCATGTGAATATGTAACTATAAATTTTCACAGATATCGTCAGGTACCAGCTGAGGAGGCTAAGCTGGTCTAGATTCGGCTTAGTGACCAGTTGTCACAACTTGACAAGGGGGAGTGTGCTACTGACATATAACAGTTAGAGGCCCGGATATTCTTAAACATCTAAACAAGTTGGCTCCCATCAGTAAAAAGATTATCCAACCAACTATGTCATTAGTGCGAGGACTGAGAAATCCTGATGTAGAAGTAGAATGATGAATTTAAGGTGCAATTTTGAGACTCCACGAATATAAGTTTATCAAAATGTTCTCAGTCTAACATCAAAGACTAGCACTACATGTCTCCTATTTATGATCCAAAATAAAAAATAAAATTGCATCTAAAGTTTGAGCCTCTTTTAAGTGGCTTTCATTTGAATGTGTTAAGATATTTGTAGCATCTTTTAGCATCCTAAAAGAGAATTTTCATGCGATTATTGAATATTTTTTATTCTAGAAAACAAATGATAAACCAGGTATAACAAGTTAGGTACAATTTGTGTTTTAATAATTACAATTGGTCTCTTTTTAGGAATCTGAGTAAGATAAGCTGGTTTTAAGTAGGCAGGCTTAGAATTTATGCCATCTACCCTATAGTGATTATTTGAATAAATATATCCCCTTATTAAAGAATAATCATCCAGTTATCCTTTCATAGTGAAACTGGGAAAAATCAGCTAGTAACGGATGAATTCATCCGTTTGTACTAATCTGCCCTAAGAATGGTCATAGATTTTGTTTGGGGATTTTTGAGGATTCGCCAGTTAGTATTATAGAAATCATGGCATAGTGTAAGAAACATTATCTAAAGAGTAGTTACTTAAGTATAACCACAAATTTTTGTCAAATTTTATTTTCTTAATATTTTTATTTAAATGCTTCATTTATGAATTTAATCTTAAATATTAACTACTGAAATTGAGGGGAAGCAGTTTATTCCTAATGTAAAAATTTAAATAGTTTGTATAGTAGCTGAAGTTATCTCACATACCATAGATGGTTATGTATAATGCTTTGGAAAACAGTAATCTGTTTTATTCTAACTTTATATGAGATAGTAGCTTTTTTTGAATTTTGAGACAACTAAAAAAATAAAAATAATTTGAAAATTTTTATTAAGCACTCTCTAGGAAAAACTGATGCTTGGGTAGTCTCATCCCTCCACATTATATTATGTGAGAGATGATGATAGTGTAGAATTTTCCATTGGTACACAATAGAATCTTTCATGGTCTTTGACTCATGTTCACCATATAATGTTTCCATGGTAAATTGTTCTTGCAGCTTTCTTAAGATTAGGAAGATCTTGTCCTGAGACAGAGAGGCACAATTACATTCTGGCCACTTAAAGCTTGTGTCTCAGTGGAAATGAATATATTTGGTTATTTGAATTTCAACTTAGACTCTTTATTTAGAGCTTCAAAATGTAAGTTTAAGTCCTGATGCATCGACAGTTTGACTTCCCCAGGTGACATTGCAAGGCAGCTTTGTGCCATTTTGATTTAACTTCATGATAAACAGTCTATTATAACTCTGCCATTTTACTTCTACTAGGCATTAAAAAATTATTTGGTATGTTGATTACTGGTTTTAATTAAAATACTTTTTTGACTTCATGAGCGCCAGGTTGCATGTGTTCAGATCCTACTCCATGTTTTAGTTGTTAACTAAACTTCTCCGTGCTTCAGGGTTTTGTACATAAAATGACAACACTAGCCAACTTCATGGGATCGTTGTTGACAATTAAACCAGCAAATAAATGTAGAGTACTTGAAAATGTTTATTTTTATTTCCGCAAAAGATGCCTAATTTGAATAATTAAACTTTAATTTACTTAGACCAGTATTTAATCAAAGCAATTCTCATTATTGATTAACAGTGGACTATATAAGACCAGGCTGTAAGTTATGATTAGTGATTTGTAGCGCAGGTCCTTCTGAGTGGTTTGTGTGTGCATCAAACTAGCAAGTCGCTGATTTTTCATGGAGGATTTGTTGAGACTGATATTTTTTTTAAAGATATGATAAAGTACACTTCAAAGTTAAAAAGTTATTTTCTGTTATATGATTTTTTAAAACCTTGGTAAAAATCTAGTTCTAATTACTATTTTTTTTTTATGTATCTGATCTCTTCAGGTTTGTGACTGGCTGTATCCCCTAGTTCCTGACAGATCTCCAGTTCTTAAATGTACTGTGGGAGCCTACATGTTTCCTGATACAATGTTACAAGCATCAGGATGCTTTGTGGGGGTGGTCTTGTCTTCTGAATTACCAGAAGATGATAGAGAACTCTTTGAGGATCTGTTAAGACAAATGTCTGACCTTCGGCTCCAGGTGAGTTTGTGTGATCATGTTCAAGATGCAAATCTACTCTAACATGATAAATTGTTGTAGGCTCTAATATAATAAAAGTTAGGAAACTGTAATGTGCATGTGCATTCTAATATACAATTGGGGATTGGCTGCAAATAATGATTAAAATTGTGGGCTTTGGAATCAAATTGCCTAGTTTTGAATTCAAACTTTACCACTGAATACAGCTATTTAACATAGTTTTCTGATCTTTTGCATACTTAGTTTTCTTATAAAATGGGGATAATAAAAACATCTTCATTGGGCCATGTAAAGACTAAAAGTTAATACCTTACAGCATTTATATCAGTGGTAGCAAGTGTTAATGTTCCATGAATATTAGCTCTTGTATTACTGCTTTGCTAGTGTTGGAAAAGTGGGCTTAATGGAACTAAGTGGTGAAGTGCAAGTAATTTCCAGCTATATGTATAGCTGGCATTTTGAAATAGAAACAAGTCTTGTTTGAGAGAATTATCTTTATTCTAATGGTAAATAAAGGTCAAAATTTTTTTAAAAAGTGATTTTTAACGTGTTTCACTGTGCATGTCTTTATCTGTCAAAGAGAGCTGAAGTATCATGAAAAAGCTTTCTTTTTTAATCCCTCCCCTTTTTTGTGTAGAAGAACTGAGGTATAGGCCAAAGCTACTGTCTCTTCACCAGAGACAGTAGGGAGCAGAGCAGTCAGATTTACTGAAATCACTGCTAAGGGGAGCAGTGAGCAAGACTGGAGAGATCTGCTGTGCTGTAGGTTAGCTCACTGGTAACAGTGATAGTGCCAAGGCTTAACCCATAGGCCACCAGGGAGACCCCAAGAAAGCTTTTCTTTTAAAAGATTTATTTATTTATTCATACAGAACTGGGGTACAGGCCAGAGTTGGGACGGATGAGAGGATTCACCAGAGACAGAGCGGGGAGCAAGAACAGGCAGATCCATGAAGTACACTGCTGAGGGGAGCAACGGGCGGGTCAGGAGAGGTCTGCCATGCCATGTGGATCTCCCCTGGGGCAGGCTGGGCTCAAACTCATGCAGAAGTGGCTTAAACTTCTCAGTGCCGTGCTTTAACCCTCTGCGCCACCAGGGAGGGCCAGGGAAGCTTTTTTTTTTTTTTTTTTAAGATTTATTTATTTATGCATACAGAACTGAGGGGTCCAGACCAGAGGTACAGGGGCGGCGAGAGGCTTTACCAGAGACAGAGCGGGGAGCAGAACAGGCAGATCTACGAAGTACACTGCTGAGGGGAGCAGCAGGCGGGTCAGGAGAGGTCTGCCACGCCATGTAGTCTCCTCCAAGGCAGGCAGGAATCGAACTCATGCGGAAGTGGCTTTAGCTTCTCAGTGCTGTGCTTTAACCTGCTGCGCCACCAGGGAGGGCCTGGGAAGCTTTTTTTTAAGTGTTATTGCCTACACTAATGTAGAACAAGATGGGGAAATATTTTTTGTTGTGAATATTTGAATTGGGGTTGAAGTAGATTGACAGCATGATAATACAATCTTTGATTGTCTTAGCATATTATTTAGCATCTATTATTTAACTAGGTATATAGTGTTAAATGTTGGGACAAGAACAGAATGGGAGACTATAAGATTGTATATGTATAACAACTGTATAACATGCACATGTTAAACAAGCATAGAGCAGTGTGATAGGTAATAAAGTAAAAATATATGCAAAGTGCAGGAAGGAGGTTAGGGGAATTTCATGAAATTTTTACCTTTGAGTTTAGGCTTAAAAGATTTGTTCTGGGCCCTCCCTGGTGGTGCAGCGGGTTAAAGCACAGCACTAAGAAGCTAAAGCTACTTCCGCATGAGTTCAATTCCCACCTGACCCAGAGGAGATCCACATGGCGCTGCAGACCTCTTCTGACCCGCCCGCTGCTCCCCTCAGCAGTGTACTTCATCGATCTGCCTGTTCTGCTCCCCACTCTGTCTCTGGTGAAGCCTCTCACCGCTCCTGAGCCTCTGGCCTGTACCCCAGTTCTGTATGCACAAATAAATAAATCTTAAAAAAAAAAAAATTTGTTCTGTTTTCTCAATAAATAGAGAAAACAGCCCTTTAAAAATCAAAGGTGATATCGCATGTCATCAGCAAGTAGAAGGTCAGAGATAAGTATTAAGTTTTATAAACTATATATGAGAATGATCTGATGATTAACATATATTTAGCGTAGCCAGTGCTGAACATTTAAAACTATATTAGCAAAACACCTGCTCCCTCACAGAAGTGTAAGTGACCTCGGTGTGCTACATGGAGAGTTCACAAAGGCAGGAACATGGTCAAATGGATATGGATTCACATTTTAGTTTGGCAGTATACAACTTTAATGAAGTAGACTTTCTTAAATCCTTCTCACGTATTAGGGAGTTGTTTGTTCCTTTACCCTTGTATTCATTTAATCCATATATGTGGAAATAAACTGTTTTATAGGTTATTTTTTCTCTGTTCAGTTTTGTTTTTTGTTTGCACTTTATTTTTAACTTGCTGTAGTGTGCTAGAACTTCAGCTGTAAACAAAAAGTAATTATTTGCTTTAATTTTGTCTTTAAGCATTCATCCAGCAAAGTGTGTGCTAGCAGAATGAGTTTATTATTACGTGCAAAAACAACCAAAAAACAAAATCAACTTTTCAATAATATAGAGTTTTTGACCTGAACATGCATTTTCTTAACTGCCTTTAAATTCATTCAACTGTCAGTGTTTGACAGTTTAAAACTGCAATTACTTGTGTTTGTTTTTTCCTTATATGTTTGTTTTATCTTTTATCAAGCCTCAAGCCTTTTTCTTTGGTTCAGAGCTTATGGACTAAAGCAATTTTCAAAAGGTTAAATGTAAAAGATAAATTTAAAGCTTGTTGGTGTGAGATGATAAATAAGATGCAGCCACATTTGAATTTAATTACACTTAACAGAATTAAACAGTAAGGTTTAGGAAACACATAAAGATTAGGCCCTCACTGGTTGTGCATGGATTACAGCACAGCACTGCAAGCTAGCCACAGCCATTTCAGTGCTAGTTTGATCAGCAGCCCCGGAGGTGACCACATGGCGCAACAGACCTCTCTTCTCCTGCCTACTGCCCTCTCATCAGTGTACTTTGTTGATCTGCCTGTTCTGCGCCCTACTCTGTCTTTGGTGAATCCTCTTACTGCCTCTCCACCTCTGGCCTGCACCCCAGTTCTGTATGCATAAATAAATAAATCTTTAAAAATAAATTCATTTAATCTTATATGTGTTTCCTAAACCTTACTGTTTAATTCTCTTAAGTGTAATTAAATTCAAATGTGGCTGCATCTGATTTATCATCTCACACCACAGGCTTTAAGTTTATCTTTTACATTTAACCTTTTGAAAATTGCTTTAGTCCATAAGCTCTGAACCAAAGAAAAAGGCTTGAGGCTTGATAAAAGATAAAACAAACATATAGGGAAAAACAAGCACAAGTAATTGCAGTTTTAAACTGTCAAACACTGACATTTGAAAAAATCTAAAGGAAAACACTAACATTTGAACACATGTGTTATTAAAGCATTGGACAGAGCTTGGAGGGAAGTCATTTGAGAAAACCTGGATTTGATCTTAGTCTTTTACTCCTTAGACCAATTGGAACCGGGCAGAAGGAGAAAATGAATTTCAAATCCCTGGAAGATCAAGAAGTCCCCCTGACCAGTTGAAGGAAGCCAGTGGCACTGATATGAGACAGTTGGATCCTTCATTGGATCAAGGTAGTAAGGATGTGCGTCATAAAGGAAAACGAGGAAAAAAGGTAAGAAAAAGAGCTGTAATGTAATGTGTGTCTATTCTGATTTACCTTTTACCAGTTTCAGTTGTTTATGAGATCCCCCTCTACAACTTGCAGTGTCAAATCAGTGAACACTGGTAGAATAATTAGAGTTAGTTTTAAGATGTCCCTGTTCATTTTTATTTGAATTGTTTTAAAAAATATTCTGTATTGGGAAGAGGAGTAGACATTTTTTTCAACTAATTGAAATATTTTTATAATTACATTAATGGTGTATATACTTTTTTTTTTTGCTTTGTTTTGTGTTTTCTATTTTCATATATTTAAATATGCCAAGATCTTTGGACTAGGTAGGTAGACCACTGTCACATGTTTCTTACACTGCTGTTTTTATTCAGTTTCTTTCTTCTTTCTGGATGGCCAATAAGACAAAGGTTGGATTTTTAAAAATACATTTACTAATTTCTTCTTTCATTTCTTTTTCTGAATACATACTATTCTATAAATATTAAATTTGAATTAGAGGTCAGTAAATATTTTAAGTGTTAGAATGTAGTGGCAAAAGTTCAAATTTTTTATCTTGAGAAATTTACCTGATTAGCCAAGAGAAAATTTCATTTCACCATGGTGTTGTTGTTTGTTTGTTTTTTTTTAATATTCTAGTAACTAGATTGGTTGGAGATATTTTCATTAGTTATATCTAGTATTTCTTAACATTATTTTATATAATGCCTGCAATTTTCCCTTTACTCCTTTACTATTTCATATTTTGAAACATTTTTACTTTTAGACAAAAGACACTTCAAATGAAGAAGTTAATCTGAGTCACATTGTACCCTATGAGCCAGTTTCAGAAGAAAAAGCAAAGGAATTACCTGAATGGAGTGAAAAAGTAGCTCAGAACATTTTGTCAGGTATTATAGTAACAGACTTTTTATTTACTGTAATATGAAATCTTTGGTATACATAAGGGAATATGAAATATAGTTTATATTTTAGCTCTATATTATCAGTTGATAAATATTTAAACAAAAATAGAACTGTTTCTTCAAGCATCACATTGTCATATAGGTCTAAATTTTTCTTGGCCCTTTATTCTCTATTTATACTCTTTGGAAAACTGACATGGCAGCCGTAAGTTAATCTGACTCCAAAAGTGAATGGCCTAGCAAACAGGCATAAACAGCAAATATTCTGGCATATTCTTGGAAATTTCCAGCATCATTCATCACAAATATTCAAAATTCAAGAGAACCTACTTCTTAAGGAGGAATGTCAAAATTATGTTGAAAGAATATATGAAACAGGAGCTATTCCTGTTGGCCATCTTTGGAATAGTCAGCTACAACAGAATCGAGGCTTCCTAGGTAGCACATAGAATCCACACACTGGTTCTACTCAAAGGAGTAGAGTATCTTAGAACCAGTTAATTTTGGAAGAGATGTTTTTAGCGATTTCAGAAGAATTCTGAGCAGTGCATCACTTAAAATTTTAGCGATTTCAGAAGAACTCTGAGCAGTGCATCACTTAAAAATGAACAAAAAAATACATTATATTGACCTCAGTGTCTTTGTGTTTATAGTTCTTTTCCTTTTCATCCTATAACTTCAGGGGTAGAGTTTTACTAATAGGCATAATGTTAATGCTCAAATGTCCTAGTTGGCTGTTAAGTATACATCTCATGTTCTTTTTAATAAGTACAATAAAAAACATTTAGCTTACCAATACTTTAAGGTACAAGTGACAAAGAAATATGCAGAGAATATATATGATTTCCTCTAGGAGAAATTATCTGTCAAGAGACTGTTTTTACATGATTGTACTTGTACATACATCATGTATCTTAACTCTACAAAGATGAGTAACCAGAGATCAAAATTGAGTTCATTTATCTTAGCCTATCATTGGTTCCTGTCTGCTTTAAAGGATGAATAAAGAGCAGTAAAAGCTACATTCCTATGTTTTAAGAAGGTAAAAGGTTGAAAAAAGTGAAATAACTTTTAATTTATCTTTATAGAATTTTGGATTAGCATTTTTGAAAGAACAGGTCTGATTTTTCACATGATTACTAGATGTCTTCTCACTCAGTGGCTAAAGTAATTATGTAAAAATGATTCCACAGACCTTAAGGTCGAAATTCCTCAAGTGTTTTCATATGTCCAATTAAAAGTCCTATTTTTTTCAGGGTATAGTCATAAAGGAACTATTTAAAATTGTAAGATCTTTCCAGAAGGGAGTAACACTTCTCATTTTACTGGAAAACCCTTCTTCTTTATGTGTCTTTTCTTGCTTCTCTCATCTAGTTCCTACTTATTTTGCCACTTACTCCCTTAGTCAGGGCCTTTTCTCTCTAGAGAAGCCTTTGTATTCTCCCTGTCTCGATTTATGTAGCAAGAAACATAAGCAAAGAAAAGGACTGGGGCCTGCTCCCATAAAAAAAAGACTAAACCATCTAGGTCTCTCACTTTCATTCTTGGGTTTTTTTTTCCTTCTTCTTGAACTTTGGGTGTTTTCCTGTCTGTCACAATCAGTTCTCTGTTAGAAGCTAAAAGATGCTAAGATCAAGGTGTTTGGATATGGTATTGAGGGAGGAATGGGATCACCTGTTATGTGCTTTTAGCCTAAAGCAAACAAGCAGGAGTAGAAAGTGGTAAAGATTTGTTCATTTCTATAATCGTTTGTATTGTTTGTATCATTCTCCAGCACTACAAGGTGGGGATCTGGAGGGCTGCAGAAGTGTTGTGAGGAGGGAAGTGGCACCTGGACTAAGGCAACTAGAACAAGGAGACTTGAGCTCTCTAGCAAATGCCATCTTAATGGCTCCGAACCTAGCATTAGTCCTTAACAGTAGTATATTGTAGGTACATAGAGATGCATCACATGGCAACATATAGTAATAAAGATTTCTGACACGAAGTGATATGTAAGTGCTGAAAGATTAATTTATTTAGAAAACTCAAGTACAAAGTTTGCTTGAAAATTTGTCATGTTTGTGGTGTAAATTTATTTTTTTCCTATTGATTATTAATTAAATTAGGATTTAAAAGTATAGTCTTAATATTATGCAACTTAAAATTTTCCTTTGAAAAGGTGCTTCCTGGGTGAGCTGGGGTTTAGTCAAAGGTGCAGAATTTACTGGCAAAGCAATCCAGAAAGGCGCTTCTAAACTCCGAGAACGGATTCAACCAGAGGAAAAACCAGTGGAAGTTAGCCCAGCTGTGACCAGGGGACTTCATATAGCAAAGCAGGCCACAGGAGGAGCAGCGAAAGTCAGTCAGTTCCTGGGTAAAGTAACATTCAGTTTACTGTACTTTTCAGTTAAATTAAAAATAATCTCTTAACCCAGATTAATTTAAATGTTCATTTAGATGGTTTAAGAATAAAGAATTTTTTCTGAGAACAAAGTTTCAGCTTGCATCTCTAGAAAAGCAAAATCAGTTTATCTGAGAGTCTTAGTAATGAGAATTTTGTACACTTGCCACATCTGATTGAGACCCTGCATTTTTTTCCCCCTCAGAATTCTTACTTGCATACTGAAGTTCATGAAGCACTGGCTAAAGGGTTGTTTTGATGTGTTGGAGAGAAGATTTGTCGGTGCCTTTACAATGAAATGTTTTTGGCTGTTTGTTCTATCCTTGAATATGATACATATTTATGTACTTTCAAGGACAGCTGACTACTTACTAGCAGGGCCAGGAGGGCAGGTGGTATTGTTTGAGAAAGGATGTTTAATGATCCTTGTGTCAGCTTTACCAAGCATTTGCTTCCAATGCCTTTTTTTTTTTTTTTTTGGAGAATCAGAGTTTTTAAATGGTCAAATAGTTACTATAGTATTATCATTTAATTATTTTTAAAAATTAGATATTTAATGTTCTTTTAATCACATTTTTTATGTTGATGTAGAGAAAAAAACATTAAAAATACACCTAACTGGAAACACAGAAAGTGAGCCGTTTTGCATTGAAGCTGATAGAAAAGGTTTTCCTCTAAGTAATAATACCAAAAAGAACATTGTATTTGAGAGACATGTAGGTATAAGAAGCAGGTAATTTGCTACTAACATAGGCCTAAAAAAGTCAATCTTTGGTCTATCTTTAAATAGAAATGCTAAAATTATTCAGTAAAACAAGTATAGATGCCCTTATAAGAATTTTGTTAAGACAGATAACATCAAGGAAAGGACACATTTTTCCTAAGTTTTTTTTTTTTTTTTCTAATGGTTATATTAGTAGATGGAGTTTGCACTGTAGCAAATTGTGTTGGAAAGGAACTAGCTCCGCACGTCAAAAAGCATGGAAGTAAACTTGTTCCAGAATCACTTAAAAAAGACAGAAATGGGAAGTCTCCTCTGGATGGTGCTATGGTTGTAGCAGCAAGTAGTGTTCAAGGTAATATAAAGGCCCAGAAATTTAACTAGGAAAGTCTATTGGCTTAGGCTAGTTTTACTTACTTTTAAATGTATTTGCAGGTTTTTCAACTGTCTGGCAAGGATTGGAATGTGCAGCTAAATGCATTGTTAACAATGTTTCAGCAGAAACTGTACAAACTGTCAGATACAAGTAAGTTGATTTTTATCAGTTTAATAACTATGTCTTATGCATTTGTAGAAATCCAGATAGTGAAGATGATTATATAGTTATTTTTATTAAGTGTCTGACAAAACAATCTTTTCACTGTTTTTTTTTAAATAGGAAAAAACATGTTTTTAAAATACAGGATTGCTGTGATTTTGCTTTATAATTTACTAATCGTTATCAATATTTGCTTACCATTAGTACCTAGAGTAACCGGATGCCCTAATATTGTTCATGGTGGATGATATTTGTTTATAGTTTTAATGGGAAAAACTTGAATTATAATTAAACTATTTTATCATGTTAATATTAATCCATCCTGTATATGAATAATACTAAATTTTATCACATCTTTTAAAAAAATTATTTATGCATGCATGCAAGAACTAGGGTACAGGCCAGAAGTGCAGGGGGTGAGAGGATTCACTGGAGACAGTAGGGGGCAGAACAGGCAGATCCAATGGGAGAGTAGATAAGACAGGAGAGGTCTGGTGCACCTCTCTGGCCAGAGATCTAATTCATTGCTGCAGTGCCTGCAGACTGCCTCATAGTACTGCATTTAACCCTTTGCACCACCAGAGAGGTCAATTTTATCATATCTTATGATTAAAAAAAATGATTATTAATTAGCACTGTACATTTGTATTAGCATGGCAGATGGATGTCATATACTCCATGTAATAAGAAATGGACAAAAGAATGGTTGGCCAAAAGTGTTTTAAAAATAAGATCTTCTGATTTTAATTCTTAATTCTGTTTTTACAAGTACTAGCAGAATCAAACTTAACAAAAAGCTAAATCTAGTATGAAGAACATGAGTTGCTTTCTTAGCTTTGAGTTCATTTAGATCTCAATATTTAATGTTAAATAGTTAGAAAAAAAATTCTCATATTGGTGTTCTTTCCTGGTGATTTGTGTTAATTATCCACTCACTGGATTCAATATTTGAATTTATACTTAAGTCTCAGACATTTTATTTAGTGTTTTCATATGCATTATTTAATCTTTATCACTGTTACCTCCATTTTACAGATGAGGGAAAGCATAGCATTTTAAGTAGCGCGTTAAAGATTATGCCATAGCAAGTAGCACAGCTGATATAAACCATATATCTCTGCCATGCACATTCAGAGAATGGTGCTGCACCACCATTCCCCTAGTGGGACATTTGTTTAACTTTAGTATATATGGAGTTATTTTCCACCACTGTCTAGCATGTCTTTAGATTCCCTCCTACCACACGTTGGTAGGCCTACGTTGGTTTGATCTGTTCCATCTTGGGCATGCATATCTTTGGATGGAAGCAACAAGGCAAAACATCTTGATGTGTCAGTTTTAGAAAATACGGGTGTACTTATTGCCTATCATTGTAATTATATGCATTCTGCTCAGGAGGAAAACAAATGTGTTATTGAACTTAGGAGAGTTCTGGTAACAAAGGTCAGTACAGAGAAATATCTTCTCATTTAAGTATATTCAAATGTAGATTGAATTCAAGACTTTCTATATGCCTATTATGTTTTTGAGTGTGATTCGGGGTTATGAATGGTTCAGCTAGGTATTCATATAATTATACTCTTAAAATGTTTAGGTAAATGAGAGAATTATCCACTAATACTGTTTACTCTTTCTTTTTTTAAAGATTTATTTATTTATTCATACAGAACTGGGGTACAGGCCAGAGATGCAGAGGGTGAGAGGATTCACCAGAGATAGAAAGGGGAGCAGAACAGGCAGGTCGACAAAGTACACTGCTGAGGGGAGCAGCGGGCGGGTTAGGAGAGATCTGCCACGCCATGTGGTCACCTCCAGGGCAGGCGGGGATCGAACTCATGCGGGAGTGGCTTTAGCTTCTTAGTACAGTGCTTTAACCCACTGCGCCACCAGGGAGGGCCAATACTGTAATACTGTTTACTTTTATCAGCTGCCTTAGTACTTTTATTTTAGGATCATGAAGACAGGAATAACGAAAAACAGTAAGTGGCTTTCAGCCTGTTACAGTTTAAGTACAATATGCACACAAGAGAAGTCTTCTTGGAAACCAAGTAACATCATCAGGGTGCCAAACCTTTTTTAATACATTATTTAAAAAAAAAAAAAACAGCTTTTAGAACTGTAATACATACAGGAAAAACATCATGAGGGCAGTTAGATATAAAAACTGTACCAGTAGAATAAGGAACATCCAGCATTTAGAAATCAAAGTTTTTATGTGGGGAATTTCCAATATTCAAAACATTGATATGGGCAAAATCTTAAATTCACTGCAGTTCACAAAATCCTGGAGAGAGAACCTTTAATGGAAATGTGCTCAATTGAAATTATGGTCATTCTTCCAATGCTAAAACTTCCAACATCCCTTTTTCTCATTTGGCCTTAGCTATTGCCATCTGGTGATATTTGTGACAATGAGAAGGCCCCATGTCTTAGCAACATCAGCAAGTTCTTGTAACACTGAGGATTGTAAGGCAACTAGCAGAAGGCAGTTATAGAAAGCATTTCTGTATAATAACTGTTGAGAATATTCCTCCCAGGAGTGCTTGACAGCTTGTGGCTTCTGCTGTACTCTAATTATTCAGGCAAAGGACAGAATGGAATCATAATTCAGGAACCTCACAGTAACACTACTTCATATTTCTAGTACTGAGGTTCAGAAAAACCAAGCGTAAGCCAAAAGGATTGCAAATCATGGTTGTAGGCCAAGTTAATATCATAGAGGATTTCTTTAATTCAAAGCTCAAATCCTGTGTTTGTCTAAAATGTCCAGTTTCAGATCACAAAGCATGTAAGAATCTTCAGTGTGTCTTTAGAGAAAATTGTCAAATTTTGCCTTTTTGTTGTTTAAACAGTCCTCTAATTGGGGAAATCTATGAGCAAGAAAAGTTACAAAAGACTGGTATTTAAAACAGTGTATGTTTTAATAATCTTATATGGGTCTTCAAATTGTATTTTCTCATGTAAGTGCTATACAAGATATTTTTATTGTTAATAATAAGTACTTTTCTATAGTGCTTTGTAATTTTCTGAGTACTTTGCTATACATTGAATGTTCCAGAAACTGTAAAAGTGGGCATGAAATAAATATTGAATGCCAGGCACTGCATTCTGAGTGCTTCAGTACATTAATGAACAAACAAAGAGTTCCTTTTCATGCGAGATTTTATAGTCTCATAAGGCAGTAAGCAAACCAGCAACTATAGCTGTAAATAAGTACTATAATAAATGGCAGGTGATAAGTTATAGAAAAAGCAATTTAAAGGGGGATTGATTGACAGTGGAGTGGGGTATGTGAAATAAGGCAGCTTAAATAGTAGGCACATTTAAAGAAGGTACGGCAGTTAGCTTGGTGAATAGTTGGAGTGAGAGTAGTCTGAGCAAATACCAGCCAGTGCAAAGGTCCTATGGTGGCTTTATTGTACTTGTGGGTTCACAGTACAGCTGGGCTATCAGTAAGTCTGTATTAAATAAAGTGTGGAGTGAGGGAAACAGTGTTAGAGAATCTCAGTTAAAGACAAACTCAGATTCCAATAATTTAAAAGACTTTAACCATTTACAAAACTATTTTTGGTGACTAAACTTGGTGTCCTGTGGTTGCTTCATTGATAAGTCTCTTACATTTCCATAAGGGGTGTTTTAAATAAGGAAATGACCGATTAACAACCTTTATTAAAATTTACATTTTATTCTTCAACATAGCCTTTATTACATCAGTCTCAATTAACTGGAGTTTATTTTCATAGTTTTTTTTTTTTATATTAATCTGTTAACTCGAGTTTATTTTCACAGTTTTTGCCTAAAATTAAAGACAGCCTTGATATATAATGTATTTTTTTCTTTTAATTTTTTTTACATCATTCTTCTTTTTGTACAGTGTATGCTTTTCCATCTCAGTTGTAACCCCTGTAGAATTCCCACCACCAGTTCACCCAGGTGCCATCACCATAGTCCCTTGTGCTCTTCCCAGCCCTGTTTTGATCCTATCCTATAAAGAATTCTATTCTATTTCCCTCTCCCCCTCTCTCTAGAATATCTCTGGTTTATAGTTTTTGTTGATTTTGGTTTTTACTTTATTATAATTACTTTTATTCCCCCACCCCCTTACATTCCTCCTATAAGTGAAAACATTGGTATTTTTCTTTTTCTTTCTGGCTTATTTCACTAAGCATGATCCCTTCCATAAAAATGGAGCTTCCATATGATTCAGCAATTCCACTACTAGGGCTCTACCCAAAGGACACAAAAACATTAATTCAAAGAACACCTGCATCCGCATCTTCATTGCAGCATTATTTACAATGGCTAAGCTATGGAAGCAACCCAAATGCCCAAGAGTAGATGACTGGATCAAGAAGATGTGGTACATGTACACAATGGAATATTACTCAGCAACCAAAAATATAAACTCATGCCATTTTGGCAACATGGATGGCACTGAAAGGGATCATGCTTAGTGAAATAAGCCAGAAAATACATAGTGGACTTTACTCATACCATGTCTTAGCTATTAATTAAGTTGAACACTAACCATTGATTTTGCTTTCAGGGATAATGTACTAATTGACTTATTTAATATTAACTCCTAAGGTCTTAATTTATAACATTGCAGTTTTTCTTATTTCTTTTAAAGGTATGGGCACACTGCAGGAGAAGCTACACACGATGCAGTAGATTCTGCCATCAATGTTGGTGTGACTGCCTATAATATTGACAACATTGGTATCAAAGCAATGGTGAAGAAAACTGCAAAACAAACTGGACATACACTCCTTGAGGACTATAAACTAGTTGATAATTCTAAAGGGGAAGTGGGAGCAAATGCAAGTATGAAAGGGGAGGATGATGAACAGAGCAAGGAACTAGAGAAGAATGAGACAAAGAAGAAAGATAAATGATGAAGTGCTGTGAATGACCTTTGCTATACCAAAGCCTTACAAGATGGATACAATTTTGTTAAATAGGCAAGTGTGGAATTCTCCACACATTAACCAGTATTTTAAAAATGTATTCATTCTTACTGACTTATTTCATAAGCTTTATGGCAAGTATTCTACTTAAAATGAAAAAAGAATCAGTATTCTTGCATCTTGCCCTTGGAAATACACAGTTATATTCTAAGTAAGTTTATTTTTCCTAAATGTGGCTAAAATATTTTTGCAGTTTAGACTAATCATACATATATTATAAATCTCATTAAACCTAATGCTAAACTATTTTTGTATTTACTATCAGGAAGTAGGAAAGTATGAGGAAGTAAGAAGGTAGGTGATTTTATATTTACATAAAACTTAGTTCAATTTGTACTGGGAAAGGATCATTTAAAATATTGTCCTCTGTGCATTAATGGTGGATTTTTTTTTATAGATGCTTGTCAGAATTTTCAGTGAATGAGCTAAAAAAACTATAATCTTAAACTAAAAGAATTTTCATTTAACATTTAAAAGACTTCAAATCATGAAGAGACTACTCGTAAAAAGTAAAATGAGGTTCTGTAAAATTAATTTGATAGCTTATCTGTTAGGAAACATGATCATTTCTTATTTAAAATAAGTATAAATTTTTAAGTATTCTGAATTTAGACTGGCATTCTCTGTTAAGAGTCTTAAGAACTACTGGGGTATGAGTGGCAGTCTACTAAAATTTGAAGTGATTATTACCAGCTTAATTAGACAAAAGAGGACTTTTAAAAAATCATGTTACTAGGCCCTCCCTGGTGGTGCAGCATTTTGAAACACAGCACTGCAAAGCTAAGTCAAGCCAATCCAAGGATGCTTCAGTGTTGTATCCCTGCCCCGGAGGTGATCCACATGGCACAGCTGCCTGCTGCTCCCCTTAGCAGTGCACTTTGTCAGTCAGCCTGTTCTGCTCCCTACTCTGTTTCTGGTGAATCCTCTCCCTGCCCCTGCACCTGTGGCCTGTACCCCAGTTCTGTATGCATAAATAAAAAAAAAGTCATATTTACTTCCATAAGGTTTTCCAAAAAGGCTAACATTTTGTAAAAAATGCCAACACAAATGATTGTGTTTACAGATGGTAAATATATTTTTATTTGGGATTCAGTCAATGGTGTTATTAGAAAAGTTTCTATTCATAATCAGGGTAAAATCATGAAGAGAGTAGCTTTATCCCATGTTAGGTGGGCATAATGGTTTCCACTTTTGCAGACTAGACTATTTCACAGACTTATAAATTATATATAATATGTAAGTAAATACCTAATGGCATTTAATTTTGTTTACTGATTTTAAGAGTGGTATTGGTTTTCATGGCTGTAAGTCCATTCTGATATTTCCAGACCTCCAGTGGCCACCATTTATTGACATCATGTGAAACTGTCTAAAGAATATACTTGTGATTAAAGTTCTCCAGAATTAATTGGCTTCAAGTGTAAACATGAGCTTGGATTTCAGGAACACATTGAATTGGTCATGCCTTTCCCTACAGCCAAGGATAATGTACTAGTGTTAAAACTGAAATAAAATTCACTTGTAAATAGCTGCCAATCTATCTCTGCTTTGCTTAAGAAATGGAATGATGTTAATAGGATAGCCAAAGATTAAAACGTTTCCTTAGACCAGAAGACAGCAAACTTTGATTTGCTAACTAGGTATCTAGTTACCCATTTAACTTCATTCTTTTCTGTTTAGTTGGTTGATAAATTTTGATCAATAGAGCTTCAGTGTTTGCTTTCTCCAGAGAGACAGAATCAATGGGAGTTGATTCCTGAACAACAGATTGGTTAGGGGCAACAGCCCCCTGTGCAGTCAGCATATAATTGTTGGCTCCCCCAAAATTTAGTAGTCTGTTGTTAACTGGAAGCCTTACTGAAAACAAACAGCTGATTCACGCATACTTTTTACATGTTATATGTGTGTGTGTATTCTTACAGTAGAATAAGTTAAAATAATACTAAAAATCATAAGAACAAATAAGTTTGCATGGTTGTATTTATTGATATCATAAGTTTATACATCCCATTTATAAAGAAAATCTATATATAAATGGAACAACAGAGTTTAATCTGTGTTGTTCAGTGGTCAGCAATGTGTGTGTGTGTGTGTGTGTGTGTGTGTGTGTGGAGAGAGAGATTATGAGGAATAATGAAATTACGAAAGCTGTAATTCCCAAGACCTTTTGTTAGTGAGATGGAATTCCAGGAGAGCTGACACATTGTTCTAAGTCCAGATCTTACAGCCTGAGGACCAGGATTGCCAAAGGTTTCTGTTCTGGTCTGAAAGTTGGCAGACTTGAGACCCAAGAAGAGCCTGTTACTAAGTCTGAAGGCCAGGAAAGACTCTATACCAACTAAAGCAGTAGGAATTTCTATTCAGATCTTCATTTGAGTGGAAGAGGTCCACTCACCTTAGGGAGGGCAATCTGCCTTACTCAGTTTACTGATTGAAATGTTAATTTCATCCAAACATACCCTCACAAATGCCTAAAAATCTGACCAAATGTTTGGAAAGACTGTGACCCTGTCAAGCTGACAGAATTGACCATTGTAGCATCTTAGTTTTTATAGTCTAGAGACTTTTCAATAGTTCTAAGCTCTTTTGAGAATAGCAAATCTGTGAAAAACAGTTCTCAGTATTTATTGCTACTGGGGTTTTTCCTCACTCTGCTTCTACAGACTTGTTTCTTCTTTACATTATTTCCTGGGACCCACCTCAAGCCTAATCAGCTATAGAAATGACAGCTAATGATTGCTATGAATCAGTATGTTTTACCTATATTTGCTCATTTCAACCTTACAGCATTCTTGTGAGGTGCCTAATTTTACAATCCTCACTTCACAAAATAGAGAACAGGTATATAGACCTTAAGTAACCTCCCCAAATTGAAGAGAACAGTATGAAAGATCTTTCTGGCCTCCAAAAGAAGGGATTTACCCAGCAGAGTAATATATAGCTTAGATATCTTTTATTAACAGAGGTAGATAGGAAGGAAAACTGATTGTTAGATCCTTCCTCTGGTTACAACATTTAACATGATTAGTATTATTAAAAATACTAGTATTAGTTAAATAATACTTTTTACTAGTTAATTTACAATTCCATTGGTTTGGTTTTTTTGTTTTTGTATTATGTTTCCCAAGGTATTAACAAATACATAAGCAGTTTTTTATTTTGGTGCTAATGTGAGATTTTGTTTGTCTTCATAGGTATTATAGAGTACATTAAGAAAAGCCAGGCTTAAAGCTTGTTAACTATAAATTTCTTATTCCACTTTTTAAGTAATATAAATAACTGTCCTCAAAATATTTCTCATGTCAAACTCAGGATTTGGTGTTTTTAAGTAGCTCTTTTGCATTTAATGTAACAAGAAATTCTTAAAGGGGTACATTCCATTTTTTTTTTTCTGAATAGCTTATCTTCAGAAATTTTCTTTATTCACAACATATTTTACAAATCCAGAAAGACTAACTTAAAAAAATCTTTAAGAACACAGATCAGAAGTAAAGAACTCTAAATAATGTCTTTAAAGGTATTCTATGCAGGAAGTTGTCAATGTGAAGAAATGGTTTGATCATTCTTAGAATTACTCATTGGGGAAACAGTGACTTAGAGGAGGAGAGTATTCCTTCTCCCACCATCCTTCTCCCCACACTTCCATCCCTATTCTATTCAAACTTGGAAATAAAATTGGGGAGCCAGCTGAAAAGTAAATTGTGCTAGAATACTATCAAAGGAGCAAGATCTCTGAGTTAAGGATTAGACCTCAGCAAGTGCATGTTTAAGAAGTTCCACAGACATTATCCCTAATTAGTAAAAACATTGCTATTTAGGGAATTAACTGATCTGGGAACTGAAATAATTAAGGCTTTGGTAAGCAGTTTTAGCATTTAAGGTTTCTGAGGTACTGTCTGATGATAGAATAACTGTAGAAATATAGTCAAGTGATGAGAGTTGTCACTTGAATTGCAAAACTGACCTGTAAGTCTTAGCGAATAGAAAGGTCACTTACTGAAGTCAATAAATACAGAGTGAGAGTCTGCATGAAGGAGGAGGTAGGTCATATTACACTAATAATGTGTGCTATCATAGGAGTGGGTTTTTACACTAGAAAAGTAGGGATAATAATGTGGAATAGCATTAGAAAAGGAAAGAATTTGTACAGGGCAACCCAATGCAAATTGGGTTGCCTGACTATGGGTCCTCACCCATGCACTTAAGATTCAATTGCAGGCACACACAAAAAAGTTAATAATAGATTTATTTACCAGAGAAAAGGGAAATGAATAATTCAGGGGAAAAGAGATAAATTGATTAATGCATCCTAACCCTACGAGTTCTGCTGACCTGGAAGCCCAATAGTATGCTGAAAGCTGACAGTAGAGACAAGTAGCAAGCCACCAGGGCAAGAGAGCCCCAAAGCCCACATGCACAGTTTTATATCCAAACGTGGCTGCTAACTCCTCTCTCAGGTCCCAGCATGCTTCTCTTTGGTGGTGTTGGGATTTGTAGTTCTGGTGTCTGGTGGGGGAGGTGGAGTCCATAAAACCTGTATCTGTGGGGTTCATTCAGGACATCATTTCACCCTTACAGATTTTTGACCCACCAGACATGAAGGAGCTAGGAGTCCACAAAGAAATCAGGAAACAAAAAACAAATTCTTGGCTTTTGGTATTTTAAAAGTATGGTTTAGATGTGAATTAGAAAGATTTGGAAGAATATCACTCTACCCATCCCAGCCACTCATGCTTTAACCCCTCAATCTATCAGTCTGACTGGGGAAGAAGAGGGAACTGTGTGCCACTGAGGCCGAGAATAGACATGACAAGTGTCTCAAAAGGAGATGAGCAACTTGCTTCCCACAGCCTGCCTCAGACTGAGCACAAGAGATTTCCTCCATGTCACATGACTTCTTGACATAAAAGAATTATTTTGTTAACATGTTTTCTCATACTAGGAAACAGTGGCCATATTTAGCATCTCATATTTTCTCATACTGTGGAAACAGTGGCCATATTTGGCAGCTCCTGCAAATCTTTGAACACATTTTAACCCTCAATTGCTTTTAATTGAGCCAAATCCTCAAAATGCTTCAAATTATCTTTGCTTACTAATTTTGGTGCTGCTTTTGGATATTAAATACACTATTAATCTGTGATCTATTGTAATAGCTCAATACTACTAAATGTGTAAAAGCTTCTCCACTAGTCTCTTCAAATTTATACTCTCCTCTTTTATCAAAACCTTTCTAATTGAGAGACTTTCCTTAACTCCAGCATCTACCTGGCAAAGCATTCTATAGTGTATTTTACATACATCCAGTTTCTCATATTTTTCCATTATAGTTTTCAAAAATTACATTGGTAAGCTCCAAGTGAAAGCAACAAGCATTAGCCACATGTTCCTTTTACTTTTTTTTTTTTTTGAGCTTCCCTTTATAATAGATGTCTATTACCAGTTCATAACCATTACTTAGGGTTACTCCTCTCAGCACTGAAGATGTGGCAGTAAACAAATTCTTTGCCAGACTGCTTGTGTTGGTTTCTGTCTAGAAATAGGGCCACATGCTTACACTTCTCAGGCTCAGGTTCAGGCCAAGGAAAATGTACATGAGGAGTCAAGATACACAGCTCACAGAGGGCCTATCTTTACTCAAAAATGGAGGGGAGTCAAGGATGATCCTAAAGCACAGATAAATCAGGAGTAGAATGCAAAACATACAAATAAGAAATAATGAAACTTAACGTGGTAGTGAGCAGTTTTGAGCTATGTCTGTGTGCAGTCCCCAGCCTTGACTATACTCACACCAGTCTGCACTGGAAGCTCAGTCAGTTTTGGCAGTGCCTCAAGTCTTGCTCCTCCTTGATTTCTCCCACCTAGAGTCTCTGATGCACAATAAATTGATTCGAAGAAAAGGTATAATCTTTTTGGGTTTCATCATTTTCCTGACCAAAGTTAATAGTAAAGTAAATGGGTCAGTGTTCAAACAGCCAAGGCCATCTTGAATCCTTCACATTACACTCAGCACGCAGAGGGATTGAGCCCGCCTTGCCTCACTTCACCCCTAACAACCCTGAGTGGGATTTGCCCCTTCATTTTGGGAATAGGGGCAGAGCCGCCGTCTTGCCACCTCGTACGTAAGGTGCTTATCTGGAAGACTTGGGCTGAGGATGCACTTTTTGTGGGACAGAGTTCCAGCGTGTGTACCGCCCTCACCTGGCCGGACCATCTCTTCCCCACCTGTGGGCTTAGATCCTGTGGCCACTACCAGTCCAGGGGTAAGGAGTGGGGAGAGTGAGGGGTGCAGGGGTTCGGGGTGGGGGGGCTGCTACTGTGAGTCATGGGGCCATGGAGACCGTGAGTCATCTGGCTGTGACAATGCTTTCTCCTCCGCTTCTGGGTGTCTCTTTAGATCTTGTGTTAAGCTGAGTCTCTGATCTGACGCTATGGGAAAAGAAGCTGGGACAACTTCGATGGTGTGAGCACCGAACACCTTAAAATGGAGTTACTGAAAGAAACCCATAGGAAGTGAGTTGGAGAGCCTTGCAGGGCGCCACCCTTGGTATGAGGTTTGTGTCCACACCCCTCTAGGGCCGCCACCTATTTGTACCCTGCCATTAACGTGTGAGGCCACTGAGGTCGATGTAACCCTAGAGTGTGGTTAATATCCCAGCGGATCTAGCAAAATCTAGACTTGTATAGGAAAGATTCATTTACTTCTAATAAGCGTTTCGTATTTGACAAGCAGGTTTTGAGATAGGCTGTTTTGCCTCTAGGATCAAATGAAATGGAGGTTATGCATTGTGTGCATATATGTTTAGTTTTGAAACCCACTAAGTTCGGGCTATCTGTTCCAAATTCAAAATTTTGTTTAGTTGTGTTTCTATTTTATCCCTTTAGAAGAACTTAAGAAATGGTGATATTTTGTAAAAAAAAAAAAAAAAAAAAAAAAAAGATGCCCCTCCTATGTACTTTTAAAAATACTCAATTTAGGTGCTTCCTATTCAATCTTTGGGATATTGTTAAGTATTTTTATTTTACTCCAAACACCCCTGCAGTTTCAGTTTATAGGGTCTGCTCTGTGTCCCGATAGCATCCTTTGCTTTCCTCTGTTTTAGCTGCACCCTACTATAATGGGTTGGTTATTTCTTGGTCTTTCGTTAGGTTATAAGCCCTGAGGACAGGTTCTATATTCCCTGAGACGCTGAAGGTTAAGAGCAAATTCCGTAGAGGAATCCTGGACAAATTCAAATCTCAGCTTTTAGCAGTCAGTATCTCCTTGAATTTGAGCAAGTTCATGCCCTCTTTAAACCAGTTTTCTCAACTCTGATAACATTTTACAAATCTTTATGTCATACTTAAGGTATTTGTTGCCAGGATTGAGTGAAAGGTGTATGAAGGATTTAATATTGGCTTGTAAGCATCACTCAGGGCAATTTAGCTGCTGCAGTTATTGTTCTGTTCACTCATCACTGTAGTATCTAGCATTTTAGCACAATGGCTTGAACAATGGCTTTCAAAAATATGTATTGAGTAAATTATTTTATCATTGTAGTTTGATAATTAATGTGCTCTTGACTGATTTCCTAAATAGATAAGCTCTGGAATGCTACTTCTGTAAAAGTGTTCATATTTTAATTTTTTTTTTTAGTGGTAGTGTAACTGAGTGGTCCCTAGGAAAAAGGGAAGTTCCAGGTGCCCTGCCCCACCCAGAAGGAGGGTGGAGCTGAGCAGAGAAAAAGGAGAGAGGAGAAGAAAAGAAGGACGCAAGATGTAGAGCCAGAAGGAGACGTGAAGAAGCCACATGGAGCAGCAAGCATGTGATGAAGAAACCGCGCTGGACGTTAATGCAGATGTGGGTGAGAGACCTGTAGGGAGGTGACTATGGCAGTGTTTGTTTTGATTTTGATTTTGCTCTTTTCCTCCCAGATTTGTCTGGCCATTTCTGACCTTTTCCATGCATCCCGGCCAGAAGGTGCTTTAGTCTTGTGGCAGGCTTTCAGGCCTTGCTTTGGGCCAATCCCTTTTGGGTTGACTTTTGCCCACGAGGGGATGGGTAACTTCAGGTGTTTGATTTAGACATTATATTCTTCGTCTTCTATGTTGTATACTCACTGTATTAAAGTCCCTTTTCATTAAAGTTTTATATGTTTTGTCTTGATGCTGCGGATGTCAGAACCCACTTAGAGCAGGCAGGTTTGGGTTTGTCCTGTAGGCAGGTTTGTTTCAGAGTATTTTTTGTTTCAGAGTATTACTTGGTACCTGTTTCCCTAGCTATTTCTTTCCATAGTGACTTATAGTTTATTTGCTAGGTTTTAAAGAAACCAGATAAACAACTTCTTGGAGTCATATTTAGGTGGAAGTAAAGTGGTTGCCTAAGGGGCTTTTGGTTTTAGTGAATATTGACAGCCTTCTGGAACTCAATAATCAGAAATCTTTACTTGCCTGATTCCTGGTTCTTAAACACACTTTCTATAAGTGATATTTCACAATAAATAGTTCTTGAAGTGGTGGTGGTGATGTCATTTTGGAGTTGGTGGGTTTGAAGTACAGGATCCTTGGGCTCACTCTGGGAAAGGTTTCATCAGTGTCCCTTTCATGAAAGTGGCAGGCTGTGAGTTTCTCCAAGAGATGCAGACACTAATTGTATTTAAAGAGCAGGGTTTTTTTTTAGAATAGGGATAGAAAAGTAAAAGACACTTGCATAGACACAAGCAGGCAGAAAGAGCTGCCCCTTTGTGAGGGCAGCTTTAGCTTTTAATCATCATCTTTTGTTAGGAATGGGCTTACTTAGAATTTGAAAGGGACCAGAGGAGATTCTACAAAGGGCTATGTCTCCTTATCTTTACCTTTGCTCTCTAGACACTGCCTACAGCTGTCAGATAACCTGCTTGGATCTTATGCTTTGTAATCTAGGCTTTGGTGCCTAAGGATCTTGATTTCTGTAGGTGGGTCAGTGGCTATGCTAATCCCTTCTACCCAGCCCCTCCCTCCTTGGGAGTCAGGTTTTTATGGCTCCTTTAGATTTTCTATTTCCTCCATCAGTGGGATACTATATATTACTCTTACCATGTTATTTCAATTAAAAAAATTAACAACATGTTTATAATAATAGGGATATAGTGCAATTGTCAATTCTTGAAATAAGACTCAGGATAGCACAAGTGGCTTAACCTTCGGGCAACTGATTAATATCCACCCTGATCGCAGTGGCACATGTGAGGGAGATTTCCTCCTGCCCCTGGGCCAACATCCTGGGATTAAGGGTATAAAAGGGAGGCTGGAAAAGATAAGAGAGAGAATGTTTGCTGCAACCATCTACGTGTGCTGACTCTTCAACCTGGATGCCCCCCCCCCCCCCCCGCGCAGACTCGTATCCCTGCCGTGCGAGCGCGGCAATTCAACAAAAGGAAAACAAGTAACCCCATCAAAAAATGTGCTGAAGGATTAAATAGGTACTGCTCCAAAGAAGGCATACAGATGGCACGTGAAAAAATACTCATCAACACTTATCAGAGAAATGCAAATCAAAACCACAATGAGATATTACTTCTCACTTATGAGAAGACCATCTTTAAAAAGTCAAAACAGCAAATGTTGTCAAGGATGTGTAGAAAAAGGAGCCCTCTTATATACACTGTTGTTGAGAATATAGATTGGTTCAGCACCTACAGGAAATCATAGTATGAAGTTTTCTCAAATAGTAACAGGTGGCACAATAGGTTAAGCACTGCATTATGAAGCTCTACGAAGCACAGCAGCATGAGTTCGATCCTCTATGAGCAAGCTGACCCATATGTGGCAGACCTCCTCTGACCTGCCCGCTGCTACCCTTAGCAATGTACTTTGTCAATCGGCCTATTCTGCTTCCTACTCTGTCGCTGGTGAATCCTCTGACCCACCACAATGATGGCCTGTACCCGTTCTATAAGCATAAATAAATCAATCTTTAAAAAAAAAATACTAAAAATAGTTCTACTCTATGACCCCAAAGTTCCTCTTCTAGACATCTAGCTGAAGAACACAAAAACACTAATGTGAAGGGAATGTGCACACCTATGTTCACTGCAGCTCTATGTACAATAGCCAAGCTATGAAAACAAACTAAATGCCCCCAAACAGATGAGTATGGTCTATATATGTGATGGAATATTACTCAGCTATTAAAAAGATTAATCTTGCCATTTGTGACAACATGATAGAACTAGACAAGATTATGTTAAGCGAAATAAGACGTAAGGAGAAAGATAAATACTCAATGGTCTCACTTATATGTGGAATATAGAGAAACAAGATCAGACATAGCCAACGTGACAACAACTCTAGAAATTTGTACAGCCAAGGCTGCAGGAAGGGAAGAAGAAGGATGAGGGGAGAGAAAAAAGAGGAGGAGGATCACAATGGAGGATTGGTAGCAGGCTATGGATGCTTTGATGAGGTGTGGTTTGTTACCAACACTGGGGATCCTATATCTTTAAAACATAATAAACTGCATTGTAGACTAATGTCATCTAGTTGAAAGAAAACTGCTTAAAAATAACAGAAGATACCTGAATAAGTAGCTAGATACAAGCAGTATTACTTGTGTAGTGGTTAAGAGGACACACTTTCAAAGGTAGGGAAAACTGGGTTGAACTCTTCTTCTCCCCTTTATTAGCTCTGTCATTAAGACTGCTATTTGACTTTTTTTTTTTTAAAGATTTATTCATTTGTGCATACAGAAGTGGGGTACAGGCCAGAGGCTCAGGGGTGGTGAGAGGCTTCACCAGAGACAGAGTGGGGAACAGAACAGGCAGATCGACGAAGTACACCGCTGAGGGGAGCAGAGGGCAGGTCAGGAGAGGTCTGCCACACCATGTGGTCACCTCTGGGGCAGGCAGGAATTTAACTCATGTGGAAGCGGCTTTAGATTCTCAGTGCTGTGCTTTAACCCGCTGCGCCACCAGGGAGGGCCTATTTGACATTTTTTTGAGTCTTGGGTTCCTCATCATAAAATAGGCAACTAAGTTTATTGAATGATTAAATTAAGTAATATATGTAAAGCATCGTGTGCTTACAGCACACCCTAAATGGACGTATTAAATGGATTTTGCAGTGTATACGAAGGAAAAAAGTGGACATGACATTGAGTGAGAGGCTAGTACTGCTTCCGGTGTCATAAATGAATATTTCACTTTCGATGGAGAGAAACACGCTCCACATATCCCTTCTCACAGGCTTCCTTGTAAGGAGACACAGGGAATGAAGAATGAAGAGTAGGAAATAAGGAGGATCAGGAAGCCCAGTAGTGCCATTGAGGCCTATCTGTGTGTTAATTCTGAGTTAGCCTGTAGTCTTCTCTAACATGGAAATGCTACTAGCTCATTAATTTTCCAGGAAAAGTGAAAGAAGAAATTCAGCTGCTTTTACAAATGTGACTTTAGTAAAAAAAAAAAAAAAAAGGTATGAGATGACATTTTTTACCTCCCCCTTTTGGAAAACCTATTATGAGCTACAACTTGAACTGAATAGTCATCTGGAAAAGGAATTTTTTCACTCAAAGAGAAATTGGAGAAACTTCGCGGAAATCCTTCTGGTATAAAAGCAATGATAGAAGCAATGATGTGTTAAAACTCATAAAATTTCGATTGCTCCTATTTGCTTTGTTGTAGATAGACTCTTCTATCCATGCTTATGAACAGATGTCAGTGGTGAGTAAAAGATGGTTACACAAAAAGAATAATTGAAGGAAATTATTTCATCTTCCCTCATAGATTACAAACAAAAGTTTAAAGATGGTGGCAAGGCTCAAATTAAGTATTTTGTTCAGTGGAGCGGCTCCTAGAATGTGAGGGATCCTGTAACAAGGCCCTCGGTTTCACTTCCCCCTTACAAAGGGGCTTCTGTTTCTGGCGCAACATGTAAGAAAGAATCTCAGCAGTCAGACTAGGAGCAATCTGAACACATCTATTTCTAGTTAACACAGAAATACCTGTCTTACACCTATCTCAAATCATTTCCTTTCCAGTGTCTCTGGAATATACATATATACACATTCACATTCTTAGATACACATACACATTATATACTATACATCATGTCATGTTATATTTATAGAGCATATATATATATGTAAACCAAACAGCAAATACCCACATTATCCTTTACCATGAAACTTCATTTGAACTGATCACCCCCTTCTTCCCAGCCCAGTGTTATCCTTTGAGCACTAGTGCTGATCCCTGATAAGTTATTTAAACATATATTTAATATTTTACAAAGCTCATTCATTTGTTTTCCACCCCCATTCAAATTATATTCTCAAAAATGAGAAGGCTCAAAGCATGACATACTCTGGGTCCATAGGACACTTTAAAAAATAGCCTGTTACTTAAGAGCTCTTGCTGAACTTTTTTCAGTAAGAAATGTATTCAAGAATACTCAGAAAAAAACATGGAAATATTGTATAAGAAAAAAAGAAAGAAACCAAGAGGGCTTGATATGAAAATTAAGATATAATACTCAGCTGAACTGGCAGGATTTATATTATACTAACTTGTTCTAATGATATTCCATACAAATTAATTTCATGTCTATTAACTGAGTCTTGCAACAGTCCTGTGAGGTAAAATTTAATATTATTCCTTTTAAAATATGTGACATAAATCTTAAAGAAATTAAGGGATTTGCTCAGAATGAAAGTCTGGGACTATGGTACTAGATTTTCTCCCTCTAAAAACACCTATGACCACTTAATTACAGCATCTTGTTGCCAATAGCCTTTCTATGAAGTTTACCAGAATTAACATGCTTTAAATATAAGTAGACCACTGATTTGATTGCTGTAGTCCAAGTGTCCTGAGGGCTAAAACATTT